TTTAAATTTCATATGGTAGCTACAAGGTCAGTCAAATCAACCAACCCCATGCAGAGTTACTGTAGAGAAAATAACAGAATATAAAGTTTTCTGACAAAAACATTTGATATTTAGTTACAAGGTTTTAGAGATTATGCAAATAAAATTTCAAAATTTTCAGATGAAGAAAAGTATTTTTAATCTTAACATGAAAATCACTTTGCACTTGGAGCAGTCAAAACTCTGACCCCATATATTCACAGAGAAATTTTTAGTAAAAGTACTAAATTTTGTATACAAAAAGACTTTTAATGTTTACTGAAAACTTGTTGTATTTTGTGAAGCTACATTAAGTACTTTCAGAGTTATGGTACATATACCTTCATGGTTACATGGTCAAGTAAAATACACAAACCCATTGCGAAAGGACTAAAGCACAGGCACTTTAGTTACTGGATTATAGTGAAGCTTCTTCCAAAATTTAGCCTGAACTTCTAGAGGTTGCCATCTTTTTACCATTTAAGTTCCTTATTAATATACAAAAAATACTTGTGAAACCTTGTCTCACTTTAGGCTACTGTTGTTAATAACATTGATTCATCCCAAGATATCTACAGTGTAATGAGATTTCTTTATTGCATAGTGCAAAATATTTGCAGAAAAAATCTAAACTCACAATTACACTTCTCCAAAACATTACCATGATGCAACTCTCTCAAATACCTATTCCATATTAGATAAATATTGACTATAATTCCAAATTTGCCACTTGTAACTGTATCTATGTGAACTAAGGCAAGATTTTAGTAAAATACTTGTCTGTTTTATAGAAGCAACCAGATGTGTTACAAAAGTATTTTTACTTGCAGAATTGACAACATCAGCCTGACTCAGGCTCTGACAAGTCTGAGTACAAGGTGATGCTAATGTGAAAAATAAAAATACTTTGGTACATGATAAAATACTTTGTAAGTTAAAAGCAAAAGGTTCATTATTCTCAAGTTTTTTGTTTGGCCAAGAGATACCACACAAATGTCAAATTAAAATAATAAAATTAAGACAGTAACAGTTCCATTTTGTACAAGGTAAAAATAGGTACATGTCGTTTTTTTCCCACTGAAAGTGAAATAATGCTGCAATTATCGCGCAGCAATGGACAGAGTAAGAATTAGTACTATAACTTTTATTTTTAACCTGCATTTTTAAAAGTATTCATAATAAAATTCAAAAACTGGTTTTACATGAAACGACTGACAAGTTACAAGAAAGTTGTGTATTAATAATTATCTTACACTAGATCTAGGAATAGGAGTAAGAGATACAGAAACGATGAATTTTCTTCCCCACAAACACTTAGTGTTGAACTCTCAAGTTGCAGCCCTACTTCAGCTTTTCACTTCTTAAACTCAGAATTAAAGGTCTTTCATTACTTTAACATGCTGAACAAATGCAACTAATTAAACTCAACAATAATATGATAATGCAAAATACTCACTGACATTCATTCATAATTTCTTCCTGCGTTCTTACTTGAACTGGGGCATACTTTTCAACTTTTTCGTCATAATTGTAAAAGCATTTCGTGATTTTGTCGTCGAAAGTATTGACTAGATCTTCAAGAGATTCAGAAAACGTATCTTTAAAGTTTTCCGCAAAAGAATTATCAATTGTCTCTGGACTTGAAAAAGAGTTTTTGTTATAATTTTCGAAATCTTCAGAACTCTGAAACTCACTAAAATCAAAATAATCTTCTGTTTTAGCTAGAGGTGCTTCTATCCTAAGCTCAGCCATTTTTAATCCTTACACCAAATGTCCGCAAGAACCGGAAATTGCGAAATTAGTGTGTCAAGCTCGATCGATGTACAGATCAGTGGGTTAGTGTCCTCAAGTGCTCTGATTTAGATGTGCATAAAAAAAGAATATTGCATAGATTAATATATTTTTATACATTAATATGCTATATAATTTGTTGAGTATTTTATATGACAAATTTGAAAAAATGCGTTGGTTTGTATTATAAATACTTGTTGAGTATTTGTTTATTACTTTGCATTAGGAGTTTAACCAACAGGTGTCACTTTTTTCATTATTGTTGTTGTTTTTAGCGCAAAACTAAACACGCAAAATGGTATATCTGCCG